GCGGTCCCTGTGCTTTGCTAAGCTTGTTCTGAGTAGGTGCTTTAGACGACCGAGCCATCTCACCAGGCCCAACATTGCATTGTTGTTAAACAGATTCATCACTCACACTGCTACAACCTTACTCAGGTGGCCCTTTTCTATATACTTTTGCACTGTTTTCCATATTTTACACATCTGCCTAATCTCAATTGAAATTGGAGGTGAGGGATTCCTCTGCCTTTTTCTCCTCTCTGGTTGAGCTCTCCATAACCTATCGCTACTGGGAGATGATCAGCCACAGTTCCCAAACAAGCCAGCAAGAAGGGAAAGAACCAGGCTCAGTTATGATCACGTGACATTTGACATCATGTACTAATACTGTACAACATTGTTCCTTTATCAAAATAAATTTATTATAAATACTTTCCTGTCTTATAAGACACTTGCAGAACAAGTTACTTGAAATCCAAGGTTGTACTATAAATGAAATACAGTCTGTCTTAGCAGTTGTTCTCAAGTTGTAGTCTGCTTTAGAATTACTTAAAACGCTTCTTAAACAGCAGTGCTGATTCCTGCTCTCCCGTGATAAATATGGGCCTCTGGAATTGACATTTCTAGTAATTTCTTAGGTGTTTCTGATGCTATACTGGAAAAACTATTTCATGGAGTTATAGATTTCACTTTAAATTTTATTATATAACTTTTTGCTCATGACTGTTGTATGCTATTTTTACTGGCCACTATCATATTTGAAAGTTTGTGCAGAACTTGGCTTGAACTCAAGAACTTCACACTGAGCTGCATCTTCTTTTTATTTTATTTTATTTTATTTATTTATTTTTATTTGTGTGTGTGTGTGTGTGTGTGTGTGTGTGTGTATGGCCAGCTCAGCCCACCAGGGGGCGGGGCTGGCTGGCATGTGGTGCTGGGGGATTGAACCGTGGTCCCTGTGCTTTGCTAAGCTTGTTCTAAGTAGGTGCTTTAGACCACTGAGCCATCTCACCAGCCCCTTCTTTTTATTTTTGAGACAGAGTCTAGGATGCCCAGAGTAGCTATAACTTGTGATACTATTGCTTTAGCTTCTGAGAGCACTGTTATTAGAGGCTAATGCCATCATGTCCAACTGTTTGAAATTTTTTATTTAAACTGGGATGTAGACACTTTATTTATGAAAAGAAACATAATATATGGCTCCAATCTCTCCATTGTTTCCATAGTTCATATTAGATTACGTTGTGCAATTTTGGTTCAATTTAATTTACAACATGGTTAGTTATGTTAAGTTTGGTGGAAATAATTTGTTTTTACAACTTTTTTTGGTGGAACCAGGGATTGAACTCAGACCCTTGCACTTGCCAGGCAAGTGCTTATTCTACTGAGCCATCTCCCTGGCCCCCTTGGTTTTTACAACTTAAAAATGGGCTGGGCAGATTGCTCAGCAGAATAAGCGCTTGCCTGGCAAGAGCAAGGTCCTGAGCTTGGTCCCTAGTACCAATTAAAAAAAAAAATCCATACAATTTATCTTTTTTTTTTTTTTTTTTGCGAAACCGGGAATTGAATTTAGACCCTTGCGCTTGCCCGGGATGCACTTATTCCACAGAGCCATCTCCCTAGTCCCTATTCAATTTAAAAATGCTGTCCCGGCAGACTTGTATTTGGAACTCAAGCTTAAAGACACACATTACAAAAACCCTAAGTGTTAGTATCATTTTTAAACTACTCACCAAATAATCTCTGTCTCATGTAGCTTGCTTTGTTTAGGGACTATGGTTAGATCTGGAGAGTTGACATCAGGACATACAAGGAGAGTTAGAGGAGAGTGGATGCAGAAGAGATGTGACATATTAGAGTCTATTGCTGAAGAGAAAAACAGGCTGGTGTAGACACAATTGGAAAATTTGGGAATATGAAGGCAGCCAAGATAACACAATCCAGGAAAAACGTCTTCCTGAACTGCTTCAGACAATATCAGGAATGATACGTGTTTAACAAAATGGGGGGGGATAATTTATAATTTTTATAATTTAAACATTCACCATAGTTTTGATCACTGCATAATATATAGCTTAGTAATATTTAAAGAGATGCACTTTGAAAAACTGACAATAATAGCTTCTACTTTCTAAGTTACTTATTTTTGTTTTGTTTTTTAAAGATGCGCAGTTTGAAAGTGATGAGCGGATTACACCCTTGGAATCAGCCCTCAATATTTGGACTTCAGTTGAAAAACAACATGACAAACTTCATGA